TATTTGGCAAGAAAAGAGTTTCAATTGTGATTTACTTATTGGAATGTACTTCATATTAGAAATTATCTGTTCGAGACTACAGTAAAATCTCAATTTTTAAACAATCGTCCAATTTAAGAATAATATAGGAAAGAAGTGGGCAATATGTACTAACATAATGTTTCATGATGATGAAATTCATTTTATCATCTGTTCATTTCCCAAGGTATTAAAAAAATTACTCTGATGTAACTAATTGTAATAAGAACTACTATCTCCACATATTGTTTTCGCCAGTTGAATCGCTATGAATGAAAAAATATTATAATTATATTATATCTCTGTATGCATCTACCGTTCCTAATTAACGTAAAATTCATATATCAAAGTCGAGTGTAATTGATCATACTTAGCCTAGTCAAGGAAAGGAAAAAGAACCCCTTTAATCGATGCCTGTCCAGTGCAAATAGAAATTGGATGGAACACAGATAATCTATCGTTGGAATAAAGTCTCCCAGGGTGAGAAAAGGACCGGAGCCGCGAGGGTCGAGGGTTGAAACTGACCGAACAAGCGTGTCTTGCCACGGATTTCGATCATCCTCCTCAGAATGCTCCCTCGAGCGTTTCCAGGCGGGTACTTTTCCGGGTCGTTTCTGGCTGGTGTTTTGTAGTGGCACAGGTTGACGAGGGCGGGAAAGTTTCACCGTTGTCGCGTTGCCGTGGAAAGGGCACGAGATACGAGGGTATTAAGGGATTAGAGCATCTCTAGCGGTAGACTTATCCCGCGGATTGACGCGACGCGTCGACTCTGTCGTTCGACCCGCGGAAGCACCGAGCGTAAGACTCCTCGAAACCGGCTCCAGACACAATGAACCCTCCTATCCCGGAGTCTTTTGTGAGGGAACGCCCTTCTTCTTCGAGATACCTGTTCGTCGCTCGAAAAAATAGCCTTCTGGACGCTCCCCTTCATTCTTCGCGCTATCGTTCCCATCGACGACGTAACAGCAACACGGTACACCGGACGCGCGGGGGCCACGCGTTTTCACATGTAAATTTCAAATTCTCCCGCGACTCGTATCGCGTTTAGATTTCTCAGACCTTTCTCCGTTTACGCCACGGCGGGCCAACACCGTGGGAAAAGCGTTTTCGAAGCTTCCACGAAACGTTACCGGGGAAACTCCCCCGGAACCCGCTCCACCGTTTCCGCGAAGATAAACTTCGCGGCGGGGGCGAATATAAATCACCGGGGGCGCGCGCGTGTTCGGGGAATCCCGAGGAAAAATGAGGCACGGCCGATCCGGAGCGACAAGCGTACTCCATTTTTCTACCCCCCCCCCCTCGCAAATTGGACGGAAAAGTTTCCTCCTGCGAGCGTTAATATTACGCCCGGTGTTTCCCAAGGTGTCGCGACCGTATCGTCTCTGTCTGTCGCTAATTTGTTCGACGGAGTTGCGCCCGAGACGCTCGCGAATTACCTGCCAGCAAACTCTGAATTTTCTTTCGAAGTTTCAGCAAAGTCGTGTTTGTTTTTAGTTATTGATCGATTTCAGCTTATGAGTCCGGTTCAATCTTGTTTCCTTTCGTTATTCTTTTACTCGTTTAACCTCACGGGATGGTACACTGTTATAAACCGTCTGAAAATGTGTAAACGTACCGTGGAAATTATAATTCTGTAATTACAACTATAATTACCCACTGTATAGTCCAGACACTGGATAGCCGTTTCCTAGAAATGGCGGATGTTTTGAACGAGAGGTGATTCGATAATGATGTAGGCATTACATCTACGACTACGTGTGATTTTTTGCATGAAAGAAACTAGCATGTGTGTAATACTCAAGTGTAAAAATATTCTGTTTGATTAATCTACTACTATAATTATATATCCATCGTACAGAAAATGTTACTGAAGCTTTAGAGAGAGTCCTTGACGAGAGATAGAATTGAAATGATTCATCGAACATTATCAGAGTGCTCATAAATGATTCATAATGTCGCGCTGTAAGATACCGAATCTCAGTTCTAAATATACAAACGAATTGCGCTCGGTTTGATGCCATTAATAAAACATTGTGAATTGTTAAAATTGTAAAATCTGAGGTAATTCGATAACGAAAATCGGCAGGGCGGCTATTTATATGAACGTTCCTCAATATTTGTGTCGAACTCGCCTCCGAAGTCGTGCCCCGTTTCACGAAACATCCTGTTTGCTAGGTTAATTGAAACTGACTGCGAGTGAGATTTAATTGAGAGCGTATCGACAACCGTTAAAAGTCGAAACGTAATTGGGGCCCCTGAAGTTTAAAACGACCATTGATCGAAACATAATTAACCATTTGTGCGCAGTCCCCTGCTCGTCGACAGTAAAACGCGATCGCTTAAAATTCTAAAAAATTTCATAGATCGTCGACGAATAATATCGTTGCAAATAGAATTGTTTAAAATAAAAATTCCGTTTGTTCGATCGAACCAGCCACTCGTTGAACGCTTTGTTTTGGTCGTACGACAAATAACGGATCGTACGTTGTTCGCCTTTCGTTCCCTCGAAATTTTGCCCGCGATAACGACTCCCTCCGAATGGAATTCTCGATTTCATAATTCCGTATACGGGATTGCGACTCGTTTCGCGTTCCAGCGTTTAAAAGAGCAGAGGGGAAACAGCGGAATTATTGCTTGGCATGGCGTTCGAACATTTCATTAAACTGGCGCGCTGACAAACGTACAGATAGCGGGGAACGGCCAGGAAGCCGACGTCAGCGGAAGTACTTTTAAAGGTAACCCGTCGTGGGCCAACAATTTCTCTCTCGCCGCCAGTCTCCCTTGCTCTTTCGCTGAGAACGTGATTAGTATGGCACCGAAAACACAAACGCCCTATCGACGTATGCGTGCTAATGACAAGCGAGCCGATTCGATCGCCGTCGACGACTCTCGACGCTGTCCATTTATAATCGCGGCGAAACAACGCTCCGCGTTTCGTTTACAATAAATCCATAAATTTACATCGAAACCGTACGAATTTTAACGACGACTCGCGAACGAGCTACGAGGGAACGAAGACGAGACAATTGGCTCGTTTCGTGGTTTAACGAGAGACAAGGGAAAATTCGATTTCTCGCGTTACTTGCTTATTCGAATTTCTGGGCGGATTTTTTCCCCCGTCCTGTTTTATCGTCGGTGGTTCAAAGGGAACAGGACTGCAAAGCGACGCCCATGACTTCGTTAGCAGTCCTTTTCCCGTTACAAAATGGCAATCCTGGAATAGCATCGGTTCGCCGGCGTCTCGTTACGACGCACGCATTATATAATAAATATGTAAACGCAGAACCTTGGGCAAACGTTGCACGATACAGATATTCTCGGTAATTGCGTGTTTCAGCTGACGTGATTTACTTTTCACGAAGACTCGCGCTGTAAATGGCTTCCGCCTCATTACGGATTCATCTTCCGGCCCGTGAACATAGAGAATCGTTTCCGAGCGTACTCGATTTCGAGGATCTTTCGTGTTTCGGGAAACGATGCTGCCGAGGGAACGGTTTTGAAGAGGAAAATTCAGTGGCGCATCGATTATCGAAAATAATTGAGCGATAAAACGTTTCTGATAAACCAATTTCCCGATAATAGAACCGCGGAAATAAAAATAGAATATTCGTACCTGGAGAATACATCGATTATGTTCTTGAAGACTGGTATAATAACGTAGATATTAATTTCAACTTATTAATATTACAATACCATTTATTAATAATCGTCTCCCGTTTCGTGATGTTATTTTTAGTTCTGAACGCATACGTTTCCATTTTCTACAAGGATATTCTGCAAGGATATACAACGTAGAATAATAAAACCTTCTCATGGTAGAACATTTTTCTACCACATTCCTCTCTATTAAAATAACTCTAGAATATTTTTAAATATTCAGGATTGTTCCCTATTCTATGCATATTCAAGCTTTTGATAAATTCCCTGTTCTGATCTTTGCACTTGGTCCCGTTAGTTTCTCGGTGACCATCTTTAATTTCTTGGAAACAGAGAAGTTGGTATTAAGAGTATTCGTAAGAACACAACTTTAGCACAAAATTAGCACGAGTTGGATATTACTCTAAATTCGCCGATGACACGCGACCCGTTGCCGCATTGATGTTACAACCTAATTGAATTAAAATTTCACGATTACATCGGTTCGACAACGACGGATGGGCCGATTGCGCGAAATTTGATTTCGATCGGGGGAAATTTAATTGAACCGGGAATTTGTAAGGGTCGATGGCACGGCCGATCAATTAACAGCCGAGGCATTAATTGTTGCGTGACGTTAATTCAAGAGAGCGTCCCAGTTTGTCGCGTTTTCCTTTTTCCCCTTTTTCCCCACCGCGGGCGGTTCCGCAATTGCCACGAGTAATTCGCTCCGATAGGAATTCACTTGTTGACTTTAAAACGCGACAGGCCAAAGGACTTCCGGCTTCATTATGGAGATTTTTAACTATCTAATTACCATTCGCCGCCGGCGGACCCGTAATACGCAAATTATTCTCAGAAATTATTCTCGAGCGGTCTATTAAAAGACCCTCGTCGACTCTTTTCATCGTTACGGAATTAGAGGGAGGATGATGCTTATAACAGAAATTTTATGACAACTGTAATTCCACTTCCCTTTCGTTCGACCGAGGTCGAATGTCGACTCCTTTTAGACTCGGTCAGCCACAAGTTCTCTAAACTATTCACAACCGCGTGGGTTATTTTTCTTTTTTTACTGTTCACGACTATAGCGAGATCTCATGGATACATTAACAACAACAAAATTTGTTTTTCCTACCCTCGTGATTCAACGCTAACGCTTTCTAAAACATCTCGTACAAAGCAGTCGATCTACCTGTTCGCCACACAATGGCGCACCGCAGGATCATCCTCCTAACCCTGCCAGAGATTAAAATACCTTCTCCTCCGATCAACGCCCCCGACAGCCTAACACGTCCAGGTTCACCGTCGTAACGACCAATTTTATTTGGATTTTTTGTCGGCAGGACGTGGAGTTACTGGAGGGAGCCATTCCGGTGGACGTGATGGACGTGGAGGTTTCCCACTGCAGGGAGTTGAGGATCCAGTCAGGCGCGTTCGCGGACGGCGCGCCTCTGAAGCGGGTTCACGTGTCGGGTATTTACAGCCTGGTGGCCAAGAGGCAGGCCTTTCAGAACCTGAGCGCCCCGAACACGCACCTCGAGGTGTCCGAGTGCAACAGCGTCATCCTCGAGAGCCACGCGTTCAGGAACTCGCGCGGGACGCTGAGCGTCTCGATATCGAGATGCAGACACGTGGGGATCAAGCCGAACGCCTTCTCGCGATTGCTCTGGATAGCGGTCAGGGAGGTGCCCACCCTGGAGCTGTCCAGCAACGCGTTCAAGCTCGAATCTTCTCAACACGGCAGGCATGGACCAGCGACCAAGGTCAGTGGATCAACCGAATCCCTTTATCCAATGGATAAAGGAAATTAAGGACTGCTTAACAGTCTTCTCTCTTTGGATCCATTTAATCCCTTTATCCGGTGGATGGGGAAACGACTTCTTTTACTCGATATCTCACGTCGTTAAAGAAACTTTATCTACTCTCTTCTAGTCGACAACTTTTAATTTTAATTCGTAAATTTTCAACCCCGTACTTTGAATGTTCAAAATTGTACCCCTTTTGCACGGATCAAATTGCTCGTAACTTCCCACATAGTACGTTAACAAACATAACCGTAACAGTTTCAGCCACATCGTAGGGATTAGAGTCGCGAACGACCAATAAAAGTTTCAGATTATAATTAAATCGAGGCTTGGATCGATCCTGCAGTCCAGTATTCTGTGCATCGTTGCTCCGGTTAATCTTTTATTCAAACATGGCATCGCAAAATCAATCAATTAATTTCCCGTACACATTTTATTTGTTTTCCTTCGTCATCCGGGCATTGCAAACTCTGGAAAAATATAAAAATTTTACTGTCAATATATTATCAAACCGAGTCGAAACGCGCGATACATCTGTTTACAATTCCGCACGTACGCCGTTGTATCGATTCCAGGAAATTGTTCATGTACGCGCGTTTAGTTGGAAAATTGAAGAGTATCCGGTTAAAAGTTACACGATTCGAATCTCTTTCGAGTCAAAAATTGCGAATCCGTCACGTTTATAAAAAGACGGAACCCAAACGCGTCTGTGTTTATTTTCCCGTTTGGCTTGGTGGCAGCAACTATCTCGTCAAACGAGCGGGAAATAAGTTCGTTTAGCAGTTGGCTACTTTCCAACAGCTGCACGAGCCTGACCGATGATCTTCCCATAATCTCGATTATCTGATTACTCGGCGCAGATTATGTTCCAAAGCGTGAGAATCACGGAGCTACCGACGGCGGTCTTCCCATCGGCGATCGCGGAGGTCCGCATGGACGATATTTGGACGAAAGTGATACGCAAAGATGCATTCTGCGCCATGACGATCTTCAGCGTGACCATCAGCAACGCGTCCATCCTGGAGATCGAAACCGGCGCGTTCAGCGACAGGGCGCTCATCCAGAGCCTCGAGTTCGTCGACGTTCGATTGAAGAGCATCGAGAGAGGAGCCTTCAAGGCTGGTCACGACAATCTCACGATACAATACTCGAGGTATGACTTTTATCCGTCGTTTTGCCTGTGCACTCCTCTGTGCAACACCTAGGGTCACCCACGCGAAGATTTATCGATCACAGTTCGATACAACAACTTCTAATCTATTACTGAAAACCTTTTATGGTTGTCATTTTATAACACGTTTCTTAGCATGTAGAAGTGTTTTTGTAACTTTAATACGTGTCTGGATATTTTTTAAACAACGAACGCGAAACATCTTTTTACGCAGAATAGCTAACATGTGACTTACGCCACTCTCAACTCGCCATATCGCCAGTCATATCCTGGACACCCGGAGCAAAAGGTTAATCACGCGCCAAGTTATTACCTCGATATCACGCGAACGTGGACACGGACTAACTTTCACTTCTCGGGGCAATGCAACTTGTATTCTTCGCAAATAAGTTAAAGAAAAGTTCTTCTCAATTTCCCAGATTATCCGACGTGGAGACCGGTGCCATCGACATATCCGCGGCCACGGTCAGCTTCAACAACAACGAGTTCCAGAACCTGCATCAGGGCGCGATCGTTCTACATCAGTGGAACCACATAGCCATCGATTACAATCTGTTCGTCGATCTGGACACCGATGCGATCATGGCAGAGGTGGACGCGACCTCGGCTCCTAACTTCGAGTTTTCCTTTACGGGAAATCATATCCAAAGGGCGCGGCCCGGTTCCCTGAAGTTCGCCGCGATTTCCCAGCGAGTGAACACCGCCCGCGTGGGCAACAATTATTTCAAAGAGAAGTGCAGCTGCAACCTGGACAGTTGGATACGCGAGGTGACCGGCAAGAACAGTTCCGTCTCGTGGATGATGGACTCGAGCTTCTGCGTGGTCGACCAGCTCCTGGACAGATGCTTCAATCTGCCCCAGGGCTACATGTCCATGAAGAATTTCACCCAGATAATATGCACGGCGGGCGATCACATCAACTGCGAGAAACCGTCCGCGAAACCGAAGCCGAGCGTCAGTCCGCCCAGCGTCGGTCCTCACGTCTACCCGCGTCACAAGGGGTACTTCGACCTGGAGATGAGCGACTCGGAGCAGCTGCAACGCGAGAAGAGGATCATCGTGGTGATCTGCGTGGTGGCGGTGTTCATCGTGTTGGTGGTGATCCTGGCCTCCGGGATCCTCTACATGCGCAGAAGCGGCGTGTGCCCGAAGCTGACGTCCGGTCATCTGATGAATCTCGCCAGCTGGTTGTCGCCCAGCAGCGGGATGACGGCCGCCACCTCGGCCAGATCGATCTCCAGACTGAGCGTGCACGAGTACGCGGGCCTGCAGCCAGAGACCAGGATCCTCGAGGTGGAGACCCAGCCAGAGGCGACGGAGGACGACGAGGAGGGCGCGGATGGGCTCTATCCCTACACCGAGAACAAGGCCACGCAAACCTTGCCCGAGGAGCTGACGGAGGAGTACCTCAGAGACCTCAGGGAGAGACTAAACGATCCCGACAACTACAATCAAGCCAGGGACATGATAGAGCATCTGTACGATCTCATCAAAGTGGAGGAGAGCTGCAACAACAACAACGACAGACAGCCTTCGGACAGGGAGGAGAACGCGTACGACGTGATCAGACCCAGACGGAAGAACAGGGGTCTCCCCAAACCGTCCGTCAGCGTGGGTACCAAGGCCCCGTCGTTGGAGAAGCTGCTGCCCAGTGGAATCGAACCAAGGCCCCCGTTGACCGAGTACACGGAGCCCCGCGATCAGAAACCCACCGAGCAGAACTACTTGTACGCGGAGTTGCCCGGTGACGAGACAGTGCCCAGCACCAGTCGACTGTCGCAGCCTGTCCTGGCGACTCTGGCCGGAAGAGCGCCGCAACCGTTGCCCCCGGACGTCGTCAACGATCACCTGATCAACGCCCATGCGAGCCAGTACGGCGGCACGAAGATCGGGAACCACAGGCCCCCCGACAGTCCCAAGTTCGAGCCACCCAGAAACCAAGGCAGGCCGATGAGCTTCCTGAAGGCTCTGGGCGAGAGCATCCTGGGCACCAAGTCTAGCAACAACAAGAGGCCCAACTCGCTGCTGTGCGAATACGCCGAGCCCTCCGACGCCACTGCTCACCTCTACTCGGAACTACCTGAGCCCCAAACCTCGACGCCCGCCAGCAAGATGGCGAACAGGCCGCTGCCCACCAAACCCGACCAGGATTCCGTCAACGCGACGAGAGTCTCATAACGACGACCGTCGTCGATTGTCTGTGATATAAAGTGTACGATATGGAGAACGAAGACTAAGCAAAATTCCTGTTCTCGCGTTCATTTTCTCCTTAATCGTTCGTCGGGAGTAGACGAAAAGTGCACGCCCTCGAGCAGCGAAACGGGGACGAGTTTTATTACCGGACTATTTTAAGGATTGTAAAAAGATAGGGAAAATTTACGCGGAGGATCAACGTTCGCTCGGTTTGATGTATCGTTTCCCGTTCGCGCGGTGTTGCTCGATCGGCCGCCGTCGAGGAACGACGAGAGACGAGTTCTATTTAAACGGGCGGTCACCGAGCCGCGGGATGTATCATAGATTTATATATATTTGCTTCGTCAGGTATTATTAAAGGAGTATTTCACATCCTTCGCCTGGTTTTTCATTCGAGGTATCCTTACCAACACGATATCCTGATAATTCTAGGGTTCGAGGAGGTAGCATCGAATCAAATACTGATCTGAAAGGGAAGACAATCTGTGGCGGCGATAACCTTTATTCGAGGCCTAGTATCGAATTTTACGGTCATTCTTTAAATATCTCGCGAGCATTAAGTGCCTGGGTATCGGCGCTATCTGACTCCATAGGACTCGAATCGTAAAACGGAAACACGAGGAAACGAATATTTCGGTTAACCCCTTTGACCACCCAAAGATAAAAAACGACAGGTTTAAATATGAGTACGGCTGAGAATAGCAACTATTCTTTCGATCAGACTCTCAGGAATGCACTTGGATTCACGACTGATATGGAAACACTATATTTCGAGATTAATCGAATTCCGGTAGAGGCCCTGAATTAACTTCAGACAAGAAACCCTTAATTTACAAAGCAATTATCAAGCCCATACAAATTTACGGTTATCGAGCTACCGGACGTGACAAATAAGAGTCACGTTGCAAAATTAGTAGAGATATCAAGATTAAATTTGTAGCAGAAAGCAAGATTAAAAAATCAAAATATAAAAATATAATAATCGTAAATTCTGCACGAACGAGACGATTCCTACCAAGAATTTACCTGTTGATCCCTACTAAACAAGTCCTAAAGTTTCTCGAAGATAATGAAAAGGAAAAAAAAGTCGCAGGACCAAAAGAGCAGGTAATTTTTGCAGTATTAAGTTTGTTTTGTTCTGCCCATTTCTGGACGATTTTGTCCCACTGCGCGTCGTTTTCTTAACTCGAGGAACTTTATAATTTCAGCGTTGCTCCCGATCCGAGGCCCTCCTCCTGGCGTTCCTCTCTCGGTCGAGAATGCGTTTCGAGTTCAAGGGTCGACACGGATATTTTTTCTCATTCTACGAGGAACAGTGGTGCTCGCCGCGAGCGTCTCGTTCGGAGGAAACGGTTCGGCTCGGTGGCCACCGAAGCCCTCCAAAAGATATTCTTAATCTCTTTCGTTCTCTGGGCGTAGTCGGTGTATATCCGCGGCGAGACCAAACTATTCCACGAAGAATGTAAAAGGAGCAAATAGAGACGGCTAGCTGGGGCGGTCTGCGATGCAGCTGTTGATGTTCAAACGGCTGTTGCCTTTCTGTCTCTCTTTTCTCCGATCCCCGATGAAAACCAGAAAACTTGCAGAGAGAAAGAAGAGAGAAACGACACACGGCGGAAAAGTCGACGAGGGACGAGCGGAACAACGGGCATCGCCCGTTATCCGCGATGGTAACGCGAACGTAAGTAGACGGAAAATTAATTTATCATCTGGGTCGATCGTTAATTAACTTCGCGGTATTCCCGCGAAGCCAACAAGACGTGGAACTGGTCTTCGGAAATTGATCCGGTGCAAACATTTGTAGTGTGTTCGTCACACATTGGTTCGAGTCCGACGTAATTCTGTTTCTGCTTGTTTTAAGCTTCGGTGGTGGACCTTTGCTATTTGCCCCGCCGTTAACTTTGATTGCTTAAAATAATTTTGTCAATTTCGTGCGAGAAAATCGATTACAAGGTCAAAATTCACCAACGAGAATTAATTTATTTCCACGTTTTGGTCTCCGCAATTATTTTCGTTTTAAAGAACTTTTAAAGCATCGAGCCTCGAAATCGAACGGACCCCTATCAAGGACAATGTACCGTGAAAACGTTCCATCGAACGACCGCCGGAAGTCCACCGTAACCGGGAAAAACAAGCTCGATATTTCTTCCACGGCCGATTCGGCCGCGCATCGGTCCGCAGGGTGCGATCTTTCGCGCGCTTTGTCACACGGTAGTTTGTCGACAGGCCACCACCGCGATACCGAGTCAACTTATACGAGGCGATCCCCTACGATTGTTTATGGCTTCCTATTTCTCAGATAAGGGCGTGATTTTTCTCGACGACCGGTTGTACGTGGCGGTGATCCGTCGAGGATGAGACTAACCGGTTTCCCGGACGACCGCGTCGTTTCTTGCCGTCTCGTCCACTTTCGATCTTCCTGCTCCCAAACGATTTAATCGATCCTCCAACGAAACGACTGTATCTTTTGTTACAGTTGTTACAGTGTCTTTAACAAAATTAATCCTTGAGTTTGGACGTTAAAGAAAATAAATCTATGATAAATTGTGGGCATGCTAGTTTCCAACTGTCAAAAGGGATTGTTTCTTTTTCACTGTCGAAAGCTAGCGAGTTCCCACGAGAACCACGGGTTGGGAAACACTTCAATTTAAGAATGTGTCCAAACACCGTCGACGGAAATCGACCCGTTGCGAAGGGAAAGTCCAAAGGTTCGGTCTAGCCGGAAGTGTTCGGGGATCGTCGGTATGATCTATCGCGTTACGCGACAGAATAATCCACGGCGAGGCAGCCGAGGCGAGCTTCTCTATCAGGTTTCATTAGCGGGCCAATCATCTCATCACTTGGATACGGTCGCGCTGCCGTCGCTCGTACGGCAGCCTAACCCGTTTCTCTGGTCCCTGACCTAATCTGCGTCGAGATAGTAGGAGAATCGATCGAGGATCGCCGGTGGACGTCTCCCCGTGGCACGATCAGCTTATCAGAATACTGAAATCACTAGCGGAGCCGGTCAACGGCTTATATTAAGTCCCGGCTTAGACCGTAAACGCGTTTTCCATCCCGCGGTGCCGGGTCCCCGCTAGTCTGCGAAAACAGCTTACGTGGGATATAATGTATCGGGGCATTGTAATTGGACGGGACTCTGATATATTCTGCGACGCGTCAGCTAAACAGTAATATCGACCGATATTGTTTCGAGAGCGGCCGTGATCTTACAACGTCGACGCCCAGGACCGAGAAAATGCTCCGTCGGTGGAACCACGTAGCCATTATTAACCTAACCCACGCCCAAAAACTAATTCTCACTACCTTCTACGTTCATACCTCGACTATTGAATTCACCCTGTTGCAAGGAATATTCGAGAGAAATTCAAATATCTTCATACAAAGCGAATTGAGCGACACGATTTTCGATTTTAATTTATTTAAATGGGTGCGCAAACTGTGTTTTTCGATGCTTCTCAATTGTTAGTATTTTCACTCGAGAGGATCCTGAGAAAGTGAGAGACGTTTTACTAATGGCCGCGTCAGCAACGTTACCTATAGTTGAATTAACATCAATTGATCTCCCACTTCCTACATTATGTATCATACCACACACAAGTACTGTTATGTCATGACAGCTCGCTCCTCTGCTTGGGAGACAGAGGTTGTGTACCTGGAGATTTGAGTGACGGGCATAGCCAAACAGTATGGTGGGAATAGTGTCTCCTTGAACGGCTAATTGATTTCCATCTGGCTATAGCAACACCTTAAATCTTCTTCTATGCTCTCCTACACTGAACCGTATTATCTATTAAATATAATAGTCTCACTTGGAAAATGTCAGTGAGATACAAAGATACAAAAATCATAATGATTTTTGTTTTGTAAGGGTTCACCAGTCTCTCTGTTAGCATGGTGCACAAAAACTATCTTCGATACAGCTGTGGCAATACGATACACGTGGCAAATCAATATGTCCAACCTATTCTAATCATCCTATTTTCGACACAAGTAATCCCCAAGAATTAACGATTAATCGCGAATATGCTGCTGTAGGTATTACTTGAAAGCATTCTCCTTCGTTAAAATACGACTGAAAATAATTGAACTCTTCGTCTATCTTCGGAACGAAACCAACCAAAGGTTATTAACAGTACAATTCGAGACAATAATAAAATGTCACATGAAATTAAAAATACCTCGTCTGTTCTTAAGGTGTTGAGTCTAACTCGAAATATTAAAATGGTCGTTTTGCTCCAAAGAGCAACATGGAATTTAATTATTCCCAACCACAGTATTTATTTTAATTATTTCAAATTCTTTGGCTTTTATGTATTCCCTCCCACGAGATAAAAAATGGCCCCTGCGAGAGGCGTCCTCGGTTATTACAAATTTCACGAAGGCCCCAACGTCATTTCTATCATCATTTTAAACTTTATGGAAAAGCGCACTAAGGAACGTTTCAACGTATACTACCAGGTGACACCATCCTGATCGACGAACGGCCAAACTTTCCGTTCATGCTTCTATCCCGTCGTGGTCATATACCGGGTGGCGCGTCCTTAATATCCACCGAGTGTTCCTTACGAGCCGGTGTGTCACGTGTCGCCTGGATATTAGACCCCGGGTCTAATGGACCTTTAAGCCAAAGATCTCACTATATAGGTTTACGTGTATCGCCTGCGATTCTTCGTAGTTTCCAATTGGATAATCGTCTCTTTTCAAATGGGCAGCACGTTTCGTGGAAAATTCGCTTTCACGGCAAAGTCGTTAGCAATGAATGGCCAGATCCTTTTCAATGTTATTAGCTTCGTCCCTACTTAAACGTTTCATTTTTGAACGGAACAGAGCGACGATGAAAAATTGAAAAAGATGCGTAATAAATTTCCCATGCTTTGGAAGCCCGAAAAAAGTAATAATTTTTATTATTTCTACTGTTATATCGACACGCGCGAACGACACGTTTCGCGATATCGGACCCTTTCGCTTTGTACGCTACTCATTATTTATAATTATTTACGTCACGCGACCGGACATCATAACGATACAGTGTTTCGAGAGTCTCTCCGTTGACACGACTCAATTGCAACTCTAGTTAAATCAATATTGACTGTCAATCATGGAGCGGCTATCATTTTGATTTAGTAAATGAACGTATATACTCGGCGAATCAAAATTATTGGCACACTGCATGTAACAATATTATATACTGATTGCATTGTCATCGATTTACCATTATATTGCACGT